ATAGATAGATAGATAGATAGATAGATAGATAGATAGATAGATAGATAACATATGCCCACATGGAGATGGGACCATGGACATAGAAATTGAGACAAAGAAATAGAGATGTGCATGGAGACATAGACATGGAGATGAGGACTTGAACATTAGGGAGGGGGACATAGGCACAGTGATGAGGACACAGACACCAAGCCAGGGAGAGAGGGACAATAACATGGAGCATGTGGATGGGGACACAGACATGAGTACAGAGACACAAAGAGGGAATGCAGATCTAGAGATGGACTTGCAGAGACAGGTACACAGCCATGAGATTTAGGGTAAAGAAATGGATATGTGGGCACAGAAAGGGGGAAATAAACATGAAGATGAAGACGTGGGCACAGGAATAAGGATTCAGAGACAAGGACATACACACAGAGATAAGAACACTGACATAGATATGAGAAAGCAGGCACAGAGATGGGGCCACAGATATGGGAGTGAGGGCACAGACAGATCGAGACTGTGGAGCAAACTAAGAGTCAGAAGCAGGGAGATGGGAAGTCGGTGTGCCCGTGTGCATACCCGGGTCCTTCCCCATCCTCCCATCTCCCAAAACCTGAGAGCCCAGGGTGGGATTTAACAGAACTCAGGATGGATCAGACTCACCCGGTGCCCTGGGGACAGCCTCAGCCCAAATGCAGCTGTGCTGCAGCCTCCCAGGTAGGCTGTTCACAGCCTCAGGGAGTTGGTGGAAATGGACCAGATGGGAAAGATGAGCAGTGGCAGAGCCGAGGATTTACTGCCCTGGAGATGGCTGAGCTGCGAGAAGGAGGGCAGCTCCGAGGAGGAAGATGAGAATGGGAAGCCACGGAGTGATCGAGGCTGTCCCTGCACTCACGTGTAAGCAGAGGGGGAGGGAGGAAAGGAGGGGGACTGACTCTGGGGGACCAGGATTCCCCCGCCCACCCCTGATCCTTGGCCTCTCTCCTGTAAGCAGGCAGGAAGCCTCACTGGTGGGAAAGGGGTGGGAGAAAAGGTGTCTCTGTTGTCACACTCTGGCAAAGCCTTAGCAGTTCCTATTCTGCTCTCTTCTCCTCCCTTTCCCCTCCTAACTGCTGTGTCAGCCATACACAAGAAGCTCAGGGAGGGGGAGGAAATAACAGACACACTGAATGTTCTTCCAGTTTCTGAAGGATACAGACAGTCATAGATTCGTAGAATGTTAAACCTGACAGAGTTGTAGAACACAGAAGACGGAATATCAGAGATGAAAGAGACCCACAGTGACCATCTAGTCTTCTCTCTAAAAAATTTACAGATAAGGAAACTGAGGACCAGAGAGGGAAAGTAACTTACCTTAGGTCACAAACAACTTATCAGCAGGGCCAAGACTGGAACCCAAGTCTCAACTCCCAGACTTGGGATGTTTCTCCTACATCATGAATCGGTGATGGTTAGAATTGAGTCTGAACTCTGCAAAACCACTGTCCCAAAAGGGATGGGCTATTGTTATCTTTTTTTGGCTCCCTACCTGTTTTGGGAAGTGGGGAGGCTTGAGGGGAAGAAAGATGGGAAAAGAGGGGACCAAAAGAGCTAATGCAGCCTTAGACTGCATTAAGAGAGGCAGAGTGGCTCCAGGATGCTTGACAGGATAGCCCTGCTCTACTCTGCTCTGGAATGTTGAGTTTCATTCTACATGTCAATTTAGGAAGACATTAATAAGCTGAACATTGTCCAGAGGAGGGTGCCAGACCTCAAATTCCTGCGTTAGAAGGATCCATTGATGGAACTGAGAGGCAGAGAAATGAAGGCTTAGGGTCATAGATTTGGAACTGGAAGGGATTATGGAGGTCATCTCTTCCAAACCCTTCATTTTAAAGATGAGAAGATATACACCGAGAGAAGTGGAGTGACTGGGCCAGCCTCACATTAAGGGGAGGGGGTACACGGTATCCAATGAACTGGGGAGGGATCAGACACATCTTGTTTCATCTCAAAGAGCAAAACAATGAGAAATTGGAGGGAAGCCAATTTGAGCTCAACTAGAGCTTCCCAAAAGAGTAATGAGATGCTTCATAAGGTCATGAGTTCCTACTCAAAAGACAAACCAATTAAAACAATTAAAACAATTAAACAAACCAATTCCTGGGTCTGTTGTAGAGGGGATTCTTATTCAGGTATAGATTGGATTAGATGATGATCTTTGAGTTCTCTGTAGCCTGGTGCCATAGTGGACAGAGTGCTGGGCCTGGAGTCAGGAAGACTTGAGTTCAAATCCAGCTTCAGACACTAGCTGGGTGACCCTGGACAATTTAACCACTATCTGCCTCAGTTTCCTCATCTGTAAAATGGGGATAATAATAGCATCTCCCTCTAAGGGTTGTTGGGAGAATCAAGTGAAATAATGTTTCTAAAGCTGTTTGTAAACCTTAAGGTGCTATTGCTATAATTGTGATTCTAACACACTTATTCCTGAGTTCCTAACAGCCAAGATCGCTGGGGAAGAACAGGCTCTGGTAATGCATTACTACTCAGACCAAGCTACAGAACAAACACTTGAGGGATATCAAAGTCTCTGGTTCATTTGATTCTGTGATAGAAATCTCACTAGAAGGACACAGAGGACAAACCAGCCCAGCTCAGATGGAAATAGCCTGCAGTTGACCCAACAGGGCTTACCACCTGCATTTGCAAGTTTGGGGGTGAGTGATTGTGCATAAGTAAGGCTAAGAGAATAGAACTGAGGAGAACTCCCATTTCTAGAATGCTTTAGAGCTCTTGCCTTTCACAGCAGCCTTGTGAAGTGGACAGTGAAAGTCCCTCTTGCACAGAAGAAAACCGAATCTGAAAGAGGTAAAAAACAAAACAAAACAAAAAAACTTGCCCCAAAACATAGAGTTAATTAGTAATGGAGACAAGACTTCAAATCCAGGCCACTTGTCTCCAATCCTTGTAATAACCTCCAATTTTTAGTGCTATTTTTGTTTACTGTGTTGTTGTTGTTATTGTTGATTTTTTTTGTTTCAGTTTTTATTTTTTACTAGACCTATGATTTTATTGATGTAGAAGAACAGCTGGTGAAGAACTTTCTCCACCAACAGAGACGGACATTTCTTCTGCAATCAGTGTTCCAAAGTTGCATGGGGCAATGAGACACTAAGTGACTTACTCTTCTCACAACAACCCTGTAAGGGAGGTAATACCAAAATTATTTCAGAGATGAGGACAGTGACGTCCAAAGACGTGGAGTCACTTGCCAAAGGATGTAGAGCTAATAAGTGACTGAGTCAGGACTTGAACCCAGGCCTTCTGACTCCCAACCCAGACATCTGTCCCTTACTCTATGGAAAAAATTGAGGCTAATCCCTCAGTGGGAAAAGTCACGGGGCTAATTATGGTAGACTCCATCTGGGCCATCCCTACGGCCTCCAGAGCTCATTACAGGAAAGAAAGAAACTCATTATTAGATGTTGGATTGGTTTTTCAGTATCCCCACCAGGGACCCAAACCCAGAGGCTAAAAAGCAAGGCTTAGCAACTGCAAAGGTAGCAAAGACTCCCTTCCTCCTCGAACCCATTCCTTCTCAACTGTGCTGCTAGAAATGACCATCTGCACTCAGTTGAACCTCAACTAAAGTCAAAAGCACAGGGACAAGGGACATTCAGGAGGTCTGAGAAAGTCTTAATTGAAAATATTTTAAAATAGTTTTCCCACTCCTAGAGGCTTTTCCCTTTCTCTTATTTCTCTCTGCTCCTTCTCTGTGTCCTTTGCTGGTCTCTCTCTTTGTGACCCCAAATTGTGGGTATCCCTGAAGTCTCTATCTTCAATTCTCTGCTATTCATGATGAACTTATCCACTCCCATTACTTCAACATGGGTTACTTCCAAATCAGCCCTGACTTCTGACCCCCATCTGGTGCTGAATTTTCCAGTTACATTTTCCACCGTAAGACCTTTCCTTGATAAAGTGCACCACAGGATTTCAGAATTTAGATGTTACAAGAAGGATCTAGCCCTGAGCCCAAGTCCTTGCTTATCCAAGTCAGCTTCCCAGGAAATCCTGTTCCCTTTCAGAACTACACAAGGGTACTTTGCCCTTGACCCCAGGGCTTTCTCCTTTCCTATTTTCTTTATCTTCATGGGTCACAGAACCTACACTCATTTAACTAAACTTTAACCCGAGGCGCCGAGCTTCCTGATGTCGCTCCCTACAATCCAACATCTGCTGCACTAGATCCTTATTCCATGCCACTCAAGGAAAGGTTAAAGGAACTAGGGGTGTTTCTCCTACAGAAGAGAAGGTTGTTGGGGGGTGGGGGATAAGCTCCATCCTTTCAAATACCTGAAGGGCTTTCATGTGAGAGGACATATAGTAGGGGCTTAATAAATGTTTGTTGATTGGTTTATTGATTCTTGACTTCAGTGGGGCAGAACTAGGAACAATTGGAAGGAGAAGGACTAGAAGGATGCATATTTAAGATTAATGTGGGTGTGGGGGGGAGGGGAATCCTAACAATTAAATCTGTCCCAAAATGCCTTGAGAAATAATGAGTTCCCTGTCAATATAGGTCTTTAAGCATAGGGTAGTTGGTCACTTGTCAGTTGTTGTAGAGGATGTTTCTCTTCAGGTGCAGCTTGGACTAAATGGCCTCTGAGATGTCTCCCAGGTTTGGTGAGTTTTCCAGGTAATACTCACCTGCATTGGCATTAGGATAGGGATAGTCCCACAACTTCCAAATAGCGTAAGTTACCTGGTGGGTCCAGCAGCATTGTGCAGACTCACGTTCAGGACCCTGGCTAACAACAAATTCCTTTGTTACTATTAACAGCCTTAAGGATGAAGAATTCACAGGAAACAAACAGGGCAAGGAGTCCAAGATAATCCCACATCCTCTAGGCAGGGGCAGAAAGCAAATCATGTTGTCACTGTCAGAAACAGAGTTGGAAGGCATCTCAGAGGATATCTAGTCCAACCCAAACTTGAGGAAGGATCTTAGGCCTTTTTATTCTGAACTTGACAAATACCAATAAACATGAACATTTCCACAGAGAAAAAAAAACCAGAATAAAATTCTCTATTACACACAATTTGTTTTTTTACATATATAATAAATTCAATGAATTAGTTTCAAAGCTGTCTTGCTTATCTCACTCTCCCTCTGAACTGCCTTCTCTTCTCTTCTGTGCATTTTTAAAATGTTTCATTGGTGCTCTTTCCTTTCCTTTTTTGGTATCATTGGCAGCACTCAATTCTACTATCCCCTCCATCCAAAGAGAGAGAGACAAAGACAGAGAGACAGCGAGAGCCCATTCCCTTTTGACAAATAAGCAGAGTCAAGAAATGCAAATTGATTCCTGAATGTTTTTAAAATTGTGTCACTTTCAGCAGATTTTCTTTCTGTATATATTTGACTTCTAGCCATTCTTCCCAAATTTATTTGCTTAAATGTGATTGCTGCTTACTTACCTAATACACAGGGATCTAAGGCAAGAGAGGAAGGAGAAAAATTGTGTTTTTAAAAGACCTTGTCTTAATCTGGGATTTAATCCTACAATTATATGACCCTGTGAAGATTAAGTTGTGGAAATAAGCAAGTGAAAGCCCAGGGCTGTAAACAAATTCCTTCTGCCCAAATAGATTATAAACTCTCTAAGGATATCCCTGGAAAGGGAGAGAGAGAGAGAGAGAGAGAGATATTAATATGGGCCACCAGTTCACATTTCTCACAAACTTACTTGCCACTCAAAATGTCTCCATAGGGATATTCCTCTTTTAGGCCTTAGCAAAATTGAAAATCATAAGGGACATAGACAATGAAATATAAGGGAAAGGCCCTTTCAGGAGCAAATTCGTTGAATACCTCCTTGGTGCAAAGCACTGCCAAATGGGGA